CTACTAAATGTTGAAAAATAATTCACTTTCTTGAAATTTATTTTCTAAAAAAAATTATTTTTTAGCAAATAAACAGGGTCCAAATATATTTTTAGAGTATTGTATAAATCCAAGTTTACAAGGACTTTCTTTTTTGAAAGAGTAATGTAATATAAATGAGATTGGTTTTTCACCATGCTTTCTTTGTTTTCATTGTTACTTTTCTCCGAATATTTCTTGCAATATTCTGCAACTCCCAAAGCGTCAACACTGAATTCAAAGTTCCCATAGCTTATTTCCATGAATCCAAAATGAGAGATCTCCAATATAGCTCTAGTAGTTCAACCCAGCACAAAAAATCATAGCATCAACGATATACATAGGACAATAACAAGAAGAATCCCCAGTTGTCTAGAGGTGGTCATGGACACAAGTAAAAAGAATCAGTGCTTTCAGCCTCATTGAGAGGCATCCTTGGTAACCTTTCCTGTCCTCTTGAGAACTACTATCTCTCCTCCTTATAGTGGAGGAAGGTTGAGAAGCGTCTCTCTCGGATCTAGGGTCCATTTTTATGGTCGAAGATCCTCGACTATAGATTCCAGTTTCAGGTCTGAAACTGAAATTTCATTTAGGAGACGCATTTTTTTTTCTTTTTTAGAATTCATTCTTAAAATTTTTGAAGAAGTTTCTGAAAAATAGGAAAAAAGATGAAGATTATTATGTTTATCTAAAGGAAAAACTCCCTTGCGAAGAGACTTCGTTCTCGTATGCTTTCATTTTAAGGCTTCTAAATCAAGGAAGACAGAGCAAGATTTTGGCAAAAGTAAAAGTAGAATCGGAGAGAAAAAAGGTTTATATGCAGGCTACTACCTTTTACTCCCGGTAATAAATGAAAAACGGGTTGAATCATGCCATAATCTAATTTTTAACAACATAAAATTAAAAAAATTAAAAAATTAAAGTTTGGATCAAAACAAAACAAATAAAAAACTTTAAGAGGTTAATCATATTGAATTTATAACTTTAAAAGTTAATTTTAAAAGAAATTAAAAGAATTAACAAGTATAAATTTCAATTAAACTTTAATTTGATTTAATTAATGATATAGAAAAAACCTTAAGAGGTTAGAGGTTAATCATATTGAATTTATAACTTTAAAAATTAATTTTGAAATAAATTAAAAGAATTAACAGGTATTGAATTTCAATTAAATTTTAATTTGATTTAATTAATAATAGAGAGAGTTCAATTGAAAAATAGATAAATTTAAGAATTTAATTAAATCTAAAATTAGTTTAATTAATAAAATCAGGATATAATAAAATAAATATTAAATTTTCCAGCTATTTAAAGTTGAAATTACGAATGATTAAGGATCAGAGGCCAGTCTTGTAAAAAGAACGGCATTTCTGCCCTGGGGCCAGATTAAGAGTTTTTGAAACTTGGAGGACCAAATTGAAAAATGGCTGCCCAGTCCAGATACGGCGCCGTTTTTTTATTTCTGGCCGTCGTCTTCTTCGTCTGGAAACAGGGGAGACTACCTGCAAAGAAAAAAGGAAATCCTGCCTAGGTAGACATCTCAACACAAGCAAGGACAGATTGATTTTCGTCTGCTAAGGTCCCCAATCCAATCAGGCTCCCCCTCCGCACACGCCGCTGGAGTCCGAGTCGAAGTCTGCCACCAACAGTCCGGCCGTGGCAGGACTGTTGGCGTCCGAGTCCTAGCAGGAAACCAACTCCCGAAGCCATGCTTGTCAAGAAGAGAGACTTAGGCTTATGCAGAGAAGGAACACCCCTATAAATAGAAGAATTCAGAGGAGAAAGTGGGGAGAGAGAGAGAGAGAGAGAGCAAAAAAAACAATGCAAAAAAGAAAAACAATTGAAAAAAAGCAGAGTGAAACAGGAGGGAGAGAGACGACAGAATAAGAAAACAGAGGAGAGCGAATAGAAAGCAAAAAAACGAAAAGGGGAGATAAACAGAGGAGGAACCCGAGAGAGAAAAAAAGAAGAAGAAGCAGAAAAAAGAAGGCAGAAAACAGAGAGGAGGAAGCACCAATCGGCCAAGGGATCGTCACCTCGCGTCTTCGTCTCCAGCGGCACGCCCAGGTTAGACTTCCTCCTCCTGCCCGTTTAATTCATTTCTAAGTTGGTAAAACAAGGCGAAGGGAATTATAATTACCTTCACTGGGCAGAGGACGCGTGCCTGCTGCCTGGGCCGGTTACTGGTTTGAACCAGCACAGTAAAAAAATGAAAGTGAGCCGAGTCGGGTTTTAGGCTCATCCAATCCAAATTGTGTTTATTGAGAATATGTTTGGTAAAGTATATCATTATTCCTGACTATAATTTTAATAAATATGTTTATTTTAATTTAATATTTGATTATAAATTTCTTTTTAATATTAAAATTTTTTAAAAATAGTTGGGAATCTTTATTGATTCATTCATGAACCCCTCACATACTAATTTTTTTTATTTTTTGTATTTTTTAGCTATATATTCAATATATAATTATTATTATTAAATACAAATATGTTATGCAATGTTTTTTTATTTGTTTTTAAAAAGGGTAAATAGTAATAAAGAATAGATAAAAAAATTATATATATATATATATATATATTTAATTTTTATAAAATTATTAACCAATCTCATAATTAAGAATATTGTGTTTTTTATTTGCGCTATATTTATCAAAAATTAAAAATATTTTTAAAAATTATTTATTAATATGAAAGTTAATAGTATGAAAATAAAAAATAAAAAATAAAAATTAATACAGCTCATTTCAAGCGGAAAGTTTGAGTAATAATATTTTTTATATATATAACCAATTTTATGCTATAAAATCTTTGTGTGGTATGTAAAATTTTTAGTAATTGTAATATTAGAAAACGTTTTCTTGAACAAAATATTATTTTATAAAAGTAAAATATTAAATATTTTTTTTTAATTAAATATAAATATTAAATATTTATTTTTTTAATTAAATGTTTATTTTTTTTTATTTATCGTCGCAATATCTAGATTTAACGCATCACATTCTAAATTTAGAAAGGTTATGCTACATTAATTACACGTTGCCAACTAATCTTTTCAAAGAATTTATTTTGCCTCCCTCAAGTCACATTCCCTAATCAGCACTAGGTTCAGACAGCTTTTTCCTGTAAAAAGCCAGACGCCACTTGACCAGTTGTCTCTCAACATACCTTTTAAATCTTCATGCATTATATGCTTAAAAACACGTGGCAACCGATGAATCATTTATTTTGACTCAATATTTTTACATAAAAAAAGGTTCAAGGCAATCTGTACTTGATAAGCTCTCAAAGCTAATGTATTTGATCCAGCAGTTGGTTGGACAAGGGTAACAAAAGTCTGCTAAGTTATTGGAATTAATATACTTGAATATAATTATTAGTTGAACCTAATATTATGGTAAGGTGTCAAATTTAATATATTTAAATTTATCTATAAGTTGAACTCAAGTTAAACTAAATATACTTAAGCATTCATCCACTAAACCCTGATTTTTTATGAATATCTATGTCTTTTTCATATGAGCTTAACTAACAGTAATATTCAATTTGTTTTAGAAATTTAGAATTATAGAACTCTATTTTAGAATAATAACATGTCCTTCTTATGTTCAAAAGATCTTTCAAAAGATGTATTATATTTTCAATCTCATTAATTATATATTAGAAATATTTATTTTTCATTAATAATGTATAAAAGAATTTTATCTTTCATCAAGTTTGAAGAATTTTCAAATTCATTGATAGCCACTGTTTTTTGCACATATTAAATCTTTTACCATTAATTTAATATTTCAAGAGGAACTAATTTAATTAATATTTTAATTAACAACTATCTAAATACTAAATACCATGTTTTCTTTTAGCAGACTGAGTTTTGGGACATCACCACCATGAGATTGCAACCAACAGCACACCTACTACTCCCATGAGAGACAACCACGGAGTGTTACATAGGTGGGTACGAAATACCATCCAAGACCCTAGTTTACGTGAGTGTTTGGGCTGTTGGAAGGGACCCAGAAGTTGTGGGGAACCCATATGAGTTCGATCCTGATAGATTCTTGCGCAGTTCTATTGTTCTGAAAGGAAAAAAAAAAATAATTCAAATGCCATCTGTGGTGAATACGGAAGATACAGACATTATGATGTGCTCGTCAAGAAAAAAGGAAAAATCTGTGGTGAATAGGGAAGATATAGACAAGACATTATAATGTGCTCGTCAAGAAAAAAAGAAAAATCTGTGGTGAATAGGGAAGATATAGACAAGACATTATAATGTGCTCGTCAAGAAAAAAAGAAATATCTGTGGTGAATAGGGAAGATATAGACAAGACATTATGATGTGCTCGCCAAGAAAAAAAGAAAATTCAAATGCTTTTATGAAAATTACGTGAACTCTTGGTCTTCAAACTTTTCCCCGTCATTTTCAACCCCACTAAATCACCAATCTTCCACCATGTAAACCACCAATCTTCCACTATGAGTTGTTCTTCAAAGTCAACATTTTGTACAGAAAAAACACCAATCATCTTGTCCAAAACAACATCATGATGTGCTCGTCAAGAAAAAACACAAAATTCAATTGCATGAGCTTCAGTAGGAGTTTCAACAGCTCCCATGGCGAAGTGAAATACAAAATTATCTGAATCTGTTGTTTGAATAAATAATTTTTTTTTTTCAGATGGGTGTTTTCAATTCATACCTGAAACCCTGTTTATATTAGTATTAAGATTTCTTAGATAACTTCTATCTACAGGATCATTGATCTAACTCATATATTGTGCAGAATCATTGAATTAACTCATGTATTATGCACCATTTAATAACTTACCAAGTATTTTAAATTGATATGCATATCACATGAATAAATATATTTCCTCTTTTTGTTGATTTTCTAAGCTCAGATATTGGGACCAGTATTGAAAAGAATTTGATAGAGGTCTTAAAATTCAGACCATCAACTTTTCAAATTGCATTCAAAATTAATTCAAGCCATAATGAATGCTAATGTAAAAACAAAAGGGTACAAAGAACCTTAAAAATTAACGGAGCTTGCGTGAAAATTATTCGAGGTCAATCTTCATATTAAGCTCCGCCGTTTATTCTTATTATTACACACAGCATGCAAACCTTAAAAAACAAAAAACTACTGATCATGGGCTGATTCGCGTTTTATTCACAGAGTCACGATTTGATAATGATGCCCACAATTCCTTTACGCATCATTGCCCATCACAGTATAGCCTTGGGCACGAGGCAGAGAGCGTCCCTCATACGCATGACAAGACCGGGTAACAAGTGATCAACGTCTATGTCTTCCCTCTTCATCCCCCCAGGCATTTCCCAATCGAATTTGTAGAGTAGATTAGAAAGTGAAAGCTCCACGGTGGCAATTCCCATAAATATACCAGGACAAATTCTTCGACCAGCACCAAATGGTATAAGCTCAAAATCATTTCCTTGCAGATCGATGGAACTGCCCAAGAATCTATCAGGATCGAACTCATATGGGTTCTCCCAAGCTTCTGGGTCCCTTCCAATAGCCCACGCATTCACGTAAACTACGGTCTTGGCTGGTATTTCGTACCCACCTATGTAACACTCCTTGGTTGTTTCTCTTGGGATTAGTAGTGGTGCTGTCGGTTGCAATCTCATGGTTTCTTTAACCACAGCTTTCAGGTAAGGCAATTGTTTAACATCATCTTCGTACACAAAACCTTTATCTCCTATCACCTTACGAACTTCTTCTTGAGCTTTTCTCATTGCTTCAGGACTTTTCATTAGAAGGCTCATGGCCCAAATCACAGCAGCAGCAGCTGTATCAGTCCCAGCAATAAATATGTCCTGCAAGGATCAGGAAAATAAAATAAAATGTAAGGATATTGATATTTGAAACCATTTACAATATTCAAATCCAAATCATTTTGCTTGGGAAATGAAAATTAAAAGGCCGAATTTGAGTCGAACTTAGATTACCATTAGAATTGCTTTGATGTGATCAAGCGTTAGTTGAACTTTAAAAGTGCGATCCTTGTATATTTGAAGCAAAACGTCAAGTATGTCCTCATGGTCGGGCTTTGGTCTCTCTGGATCATGTTCATCAATGATTTCTTGGTAGAAAACATCAAACTCTCTGAAATTTTTTTCAAGACGAGCGCTTGCAGGTTTGAGCTATCAAGCTGGTGCAAGTTACCTATCAAGGGAAGACCGTTGGGGCCAGGAGGGAAACAAGCTCTTTTAGAGATTTTGTTTTTCTTGAGAAGAAACAAGAATATGATGGAGAGGAAGAGAATTACGAATATGAGTAATGCCATTATGATCTGAGTATTTTTGAGCTGTGAATTCTGCGATACAAGCTTCAATTATATAGAGAGTGTTTGCGGGTGAGTGTATTTTTTATTTAAAAATATATTAAAATATTTTTTTCATTTTTAATAACTACATCAAAATAATCAAAAAATATAAAAAAATTAATTTAAATATTTTTCAAAAAAATTTATAAATTTAAAAAAACAGAGTCCAGTTGCACTCCTACACAGTGCAATAGACAAAAAAGAATATTTATGTAAATAGATTTCTATCATATTAACTTTCATTTCGAACATTTTATTCGTGTATATGCACCAACTTAATTGAAAATATTTACTTCATGTTTTGACTTGAAATTTTCCCTCAGCAATTATAATAACAATAGCCTGTGGTTGAAATTGATCCATATATAACATGATTATTGCGTATTTGATGAGCCCTGTGCGTTTTCTAGGGCTGTTCAATAAACTCGTAATCAATATCTGCCGTCTATTTTTGATACTATATAGAAATCTTGCATTCAAGCCTAATGATACCAAGAGAAGGATGCTACTACGTACATACTAAGAAACAAACTCCCGAAGCCATGCTTATCAAGAAGAGAGACTTAGGCATATGCAGAGAAGGAACATCCCTATAAACAGAAGAATTCAGAGGAGAAAGGGGGGAGAGAGAGAGCAAAAAAAACAATGCAAAAAAGAAAACAATTAAAAAAAGCAGAGTGAAACGGGAGGGAGAGAGACGACAGATTAAGAAAACAGAGGAGAGCGAATAGAAAGCAAAAAAACGCAGAGGGGGGGGGGAACAGAGGAGGAACCCGAGAGACAAAAAAGAAGAAGAGGAAGCAGAAAACAGATTAAAAAAACAGAAGGTAGAAACAGAGAGGAGGAAGCACCAATAGGCCAAGGGACCGTCACCTCGCGTCTTCGTCTCCAGCGGCACGCCCAGGCAAGACTTCTTCCTCCTGCCCGTTTAATTCATTTCTAAGTTTGCAAAACAGCGCGAAGGGAATTATAATTGCCTTCACACTGTGCAGAGCACGCGTGACTTTGTTCACGCGTCCGGGCCAGCTGGGTCCAGCCCATCCCCAGGACTGGCTCGACCCACCCCAGTAAAAAATAAAAATGAACTGGGTCTAGGTTTTAAGACCAGCTAGTCCATATTGTGTTATTTGGCAAAGTACATTTTTTTATCTTGACTATAATTTTAATGTTTTTTTTAATTTGATATTTAATTAAATAAATATTTTTTATATTATAAATTTCAAAAATAGTTTTGGATTTTCATTGATTTATTTGTTAGCTCCTTGCATGTTGATTTATTTTTTTCATTGTATTTTGTATTTTTTTTAATTATATATATAATTTATTGATTATTATTGTTAAATACAAATATATCATGCAATGTTTTTTTTATTCTAAAAAGGGTAAATAGTAATAAAGAATAAACAAAAAAATAATATCATATAAAAAATTTTCTTCAAATTTATGTTTTGTTAAATTATTCACCGACTCTGAAGTAAAAAATATTGTGTTTTTTCTGATTTGTGCTATATTTATTAACATCAGAGTTTAAAATATTTGTAGGAATTGTTCATTAATGCCAAAGTCAATAACATAAAACAAAAAAAAAATTATTAACAATTTAAATAAAATTAGCAATGTAGCTTATCTCATGTATAATATTTAAGGGTGATAAAATATTTATTTTATATAATTAATTTATAGAATTCTTGTTGAGTAGTTAGAATTTTTAATGACTATAATATTAAATAATAACTTTTTAAATAAAATATTTGTTTAGAATAATAAAATGTTAAATATTTATTTTTTTAATTAAATAATAAATTATTTATACATAATCGTGATATATGGATTTAACACATCACAGTATAAATTTAGAAAGGTTAAATGTTTGCTACATTAATAACACGTTGCCAGCTAGTCTTTTCAAAGAATTTATTTCACCTTCTTCAAGATATCTTTCTTGATCAGTAATAGATTTAGACAACTCTTTACTTTTTTAGTAAGACACCATGTGACTTGATAAACCTTTTAAATCTTTATGCATTGTATGTTTAAAGACATGTGGTCATTGATGAATCATTTATTTGGACTCAATATTTTTACATTAAAAAAAATATATTCAAGGCAATTTATACTTGATAAGCTATCAAAGAGAATATATATATATATATATATATATATATATATATTGATTTATGTGGGGTATCCGGGTCAGCTTGCGTGCACCATAACTAATCCTCACGGTCCACTGAATACCCTGCAAACCCATTAGGCATGTAAAGCACCGCGGGGGTGACAGGCGTGCACGTCAGGGCTCGAACCTAGGTACAGTGAAAGGAAACAAGCTAATATATTTGATCTAGTTGTTAGTTGGACTAGGACAACACAAGTCCATTAAGTTGTGAGAATTAATATACTTGAATATAATTATTAGATAAACCTAAAACAACATAATTCTGGTAAATTATGAATTCAATACATTTAAGTTTAGTTGTTAGTTAAAGTCGTGGTAATATAAGCCCAGTAAACTATCACACTAAATACATTTAAATTTGGACATCCAATAAACTTAAGATGTAATGATTTTTTATAAACATCTATATCTTTTTTATATGAGCTTGACTAACTAACAGGTTTAATTAGTCTTAAAAATTTAAAATTGTGGAGCTTTATTCTAGAATAATAACATGTTCTCTTTAGGTCTAAAAGATCTTTCAAATGATATATTATATTTTTAATTTTACTAGTTATGTGTAACAAATATTTGTTTCTTTTTAACAATGTGTAAAGAATTTTTATTTTTATTAAATTTGAAGGGTTTTTAAATTCACTGATAGGTACTGTTTTTGCATATACTAAAGCTTTTACTGTTAATTTAATATTTCACGAGCTAAGAAGAAAGGAACTAATTGAATGAATATTTTAATTAACAACTATCTAAATACTAAATAACATATCTTCTTTAAACATACTGAGTTTTGGGACATCATCACCATGAGATTGCAACCAACAGCTCAACCACTCCTCCCAAGAGAGACAACCAAGGAGTGTTACATGGGTGGGTACGACCCTAGTTGTCGGGGCCGTTGGAAGGGACCCAGAAGCCTTGGAGAACCCATGTGAGTTCGATCCTGATAGATTCTTCTTGGGCAGTTCTGTTGATCTGAAAGGAAACAAAATAGGGAAGAAATAGACATTATGATGGGCTCGTCAAGAGAAAAGAAAATTATGTGGTTGATGATTTAACACTTGGTCTTCAAACTTCTCACCATCATTTTTCAACCACACGAACCACCAATCTTCCACCATGCGTTGTTCTTTAAAGTTAACGCTTTTTGTACAGAAAAAACACCAATCATCTTGTCCAAACCAAAAGCGCCCCCCTCAGCAGCTGCATTCTGCATAGATCCAAAACCTGACATCTAGTCGCCAGTCTGTTATCATCAACTTGGGTCCAAATTCAAAGTACGTTTTTCTTGTAGCTGTCCAGTAGCTTAGTAATTGACATAAAATTTCAAGTTATTTTTTAATATATATATATATTATAAAATTAATTGAAAAATAAAAAATTAATGTATGTATTTAATAGAATAAATAAAAAATAATATGAACCAATAAATTTTAGAAAATAGAATAAATAAAAAATAATATGAACCAATAAATTGTAGAAAAAATTGTCAACATTAACTAAATATTAAAATAAAAAACTAAAAAATAAATATATAAAAAAAACTTGATTTCAAAAAGTTAGAAGATAAATGTGTATAAATAAGTTTGATTTCAAGTCACAGGTCGCTTTTGAATTTTTTTTATTTGATTATATGGCAATAAAAAAGGATTTTTGTAAAAAATAATAATTTAAATATTATAAAAAAAATGTGATATGCTAGAATGAATTCTCTTTTCCCTATTCATGCATTTTTTTTTTTTCTCTTTTCCCTATTCATGCATTTTTTTTAAAAAAAAAAATACTATTTTTGACCGTGTTGTTTACTGCATTAAAAACTAAAATCAATCAAAATCAATATCTGAAAAACAATAACTATTAAGAATAAGTTAAAAAAGGTAACCATTTATTAAAAAAAACTTTGTACCTTATTAATGCATTAATTTTTTTTTCTCTCGTTTTTTTTTATCATATGTATTGTTTTTGAACAAGAACTTATCTTAATAAAAAATTAAAATAATAATAATGAATTTATAGTTTTGATGTGAATATATTGAAAAAATATAAAAATAATAAATTTGAAAAAAAATTACACTATATATCTATTTTAGCCACGTACGTTGCTTATTGCTTTCAAACTAAAAGCAATTAAAATAAATATCTAAAAAAATTAATGATTTGAAATAAAAAAAATATCTTTTTAATCAAAACACTTTTCCTAATGCATTCTTCTTCTTTTGATAATTTGTTTTTATCAAAAGCATTGTTCTTTAAATAAAAATATCATAATCCTAAAAGCAAGTTTTACTAGAACAAAACTAGAAAAAAATAGTGAACCGATAAATTTGACACTAATGTATTAAAAATATAATAATACTAATTTTGAAAAATAAATATATGAAAACTTACGATAACAAGATAAAAAATATAAATATTTGATTCACATTAATTATTCAAGGTTCATATATAATTATTTCAAAAATAATTGTTAATATTATGGTAAAAGATACTAATATTATTTAAAAATAATAGCATAATTGGATAACTATGTAAACATTATTTTAATAAATTTATTTATTAAAAAAATCTAATTACAAAATACAAAAATAAAAAAATAATTAAGTAAAAAACTTAAAGGAACATGAGCACAGGTGCTTAAAATTTGGGCCCACATGCACAACATTTAAAGCCGAGGATGGTATCCCTAAGGCCTTTTTTTTTTTTTAATAAACAGAAAAATACTATATAATATTTTTTAAATAAATAAATAAATAGGTGACGTATCGCTATCCGGGTAAATAATGCTATCCATTTATAACTAAAAAATTAGAATGAAAGATTTTAGATTCAAAAATCTAGATTTTAATTATTTTTCATAAAAAAAATAATAACATGAACATCTAAAACTCCATTTCTAATAACAAAATATATTTTAAGTGGTCTAAAAACTTAAAATCAAATCAAATATATAAAGGCCTTGTGATTGAAATAGCTATTAAAACTTTTAAATTATTATTATTTTTAATAATAAATGGGTCTTCATGATAAATTTTTAGTAAAATTATGTATTTTTAAAATAGAAAGTACAAAGAGAACATGTTTTTAAAATTAATTTTTTTATTTTTATTTTAAAAAATCCTTGTAAAAAACTCATAATTCAAATATTATCCAACTAAGTTTTAAAAAAATAAAATAATAATTATTATAATTTTAAATTTTAATTGAATCACAGGTTAAAAGACTCGACCCGTTGACCCTAATCATTTTTAAGTAAAACAGACATCGATGATGTGCTCGTCAAGAAAAAAGAAAATTCAAATGCCATCCGTGGTGAATAGGGAAGATATAGACATTGATGATGTGCTCGTCAAGAAAAATAGAAAATTCAAACGCTCTTAAGAGAACTTCTGACTCCAATGAGTGAAGAGCAATTGCATGAGCTTTAGTAGGAGTTTCAACAGCTCCCATGGCAAAGAGATATACAAAATCATCTGGATCTGTTGCTTGAATAAATGAAAATAATTTTCAGACGGACGTCTTTAATTCATACCTGGAACCCTGTCTATATTAGTGTCAAGATTTCTTAGATAGCTCCTATTTGCAGGATCATTGATCTAACTCATATATCATGCACTATTTAATAACTTATCAAGTATTTTAAATTGATATGCATATCACATGAATAAATGTATTTGCTCTTTTTGTTGACTTTCTAAGCTCAGATATTAGGGCCAGTATTGAAAAGAATTTGATAATAAAATTCAGACCATCCACTTTTCAAATTGCATAAAAAAATTAATTCAAGCCATAATGAATTCTAATGTAAACACAAAAGGGTACAAAGAACCTTAACAATTTAACGGAGCTTGCGTGAACATTATTCGAGGTCAATCTTGATCATATTGAGCTCCGTCGTTTATTCTTTTTTTTTTTTTTGATTTACGTGGGGTGTCCGGATCAGCTTACACGCATCACGATTAATCCACACGGTCCATCCACTTTTCAAATTGCATAAAAAAATTAATTCAAGCCATAATGAATTCTAATGTAAACACAAAAGGGTACAAAGAACCTTAACAATTTAACGGAGCTTGCGTGAAAATTATTCGAGGTCAATCTTGATCATATTGAGCTCCGTCGTTTATTCTTATTATTACACACAGCTTGCAAACCTCAAAAAACAAAAAAACTACTGACCATGGGCTGATTCGTGTTTTATTCATAGAGTCACGATTTCTTGATGATGCCCACAATTCCTTTACGCATCTGACACCGCGGGGTGACAGGCGTGCATGGTGAGATTCGAACCCAGATACGGAGAAAAGGAACAAATCTCTCCCACCACTAGGCCAGAACCTCACTTGCACTCCGTCTTTTATTCTTATTATTACACACAGCTTGCAAACCTCAAAAAACAAAAAAACTACTGACCATGGGCTGATTCGTGTTTTATTCATAGAGTCACGATTTCTTGATGATGCCCACAATTCCTTTACGCATCTTTGCCCATCACAGCATAGGCCTTAGGCACGAGGCAGAGAGCGTCCCTCGTATGCAGAGCAAGACCGGGTTGCGTATGATCGACGTCTATGTCTTCCCTCTTCATCCCACTAGGCATTTCCCAGTCGAATTTGTAGAGAAGATTAGAAAGTGCAAGCTCCACAGTGGCAATTCCCATAAATATCCCAGGACAAATTCTTCGACCAGCACCAAATGGTATAAGCTCAAAATCATTTCCTTTCAAATCAATAGAACTGCCCAGGAACCTATCAGGAATGAACACATATGGGTTCTCCCAAACTTCTGTGTCCCTTCCAATAGCCCACGCATTCACGTAAACTAAGGTCTTGGCTGGTATTTCGTACCCACCTATGTAACACTCCTTGGTTGTTTCTCTTGGGATTAGTAGTGGTGCTGTTGGTTGCAATCTCATGGTCTCTTTAACCACAGCTTTAAGGTAAGGCAATTGTTTAACATCATCTTCGTACACAAAACCTTTATCTCCTATCACCTTTCGAACTTCTTCTTGAGCTTTTCTCATTGCTTCAGGGTTTTTCATTAGAAGGCTCATGGCCCAAATCACAGCAGCAGCAGCTGTATCAGTCCCACCAACAAATATGTTCTGCAAGGATCAGGAAAATAAAATAAAATGTAAGGATATTGATATTTGAAACCATTTACAATATTCAAATCCAAATCATTTTGCTTGGGAAATGAAAATTAAAAGGCCGAATTTGAGTCGAACTTAGATTACCATTAGAATTGCTTTGATGTGATCAAGCGTTAGTTGAACTTTAAAAGTGCGATCCTTGTATATTTGAAGCAAAACGTCAAGTATGTCCTCATGGTCTGGCTTTGGTCGCTCTGGATCAAGATGTTCATCAATAATTTCTTGGTAGAAAACATCAAACTCTCTGAAATTTTTTTCAAGACGATGGGCACGTCCCGTGAGTCTATCAACCCATCCCATGTATGGAAAATAATCAGAAAGATAAAACATCGTAAACAGGGCTTGAGTTTCATTAAGCAACGCATGGAACCTACTTCCTTCAATTCCTCCATCCTCGTACCTTTTTCCGAAGGCAGTTCTGCATATGGCTGTGCTTGTAACAGACAGCATTGCTTCAGTCAAGTTGAGGGGTTTAGAAGCAAGAGCTGCTTTGGAAATTTTTTCAATCATATGCGATACCTCATCTTCTCTGTTGGTACGAAAACTTTGCACTCGTGTCGAGTTGAGGAGATGAACGACGCATATTTTTTTCATCTCCCTCCAATAAGCACCATATGGTGAAAAGGCCACGTCCAAACCATTGTAGGAAAGTTTTTGCTGGCCAGTCAAGAGAGGCCTGCTACAAAATTCAAGATCATGGGTTTTCAGTACCTCTTCAGCCATTTTGGCTGAAGAGACTACGAGGGTTCGCTTGAAACCTAGCTTTAAGGACATGAGGGGGCCATATTTTTGAGATAGTTTCCATAAATGCGTTTGAAGGTTTGAGCTATCAAGCTGGTGCAAGTTACCTATCAAGGGAAGACCGTTGGGGCCAGGAGGGAAACAAGCTCTTTTAGAGATTTTGTTTTTCTTGAGAAGAAACAAGAAAATGATGGAGAGGAAGAGAATTACGAATATGAGTAATGCCATTATGATCTGAGTATTTTTGAGCTGTGAATTCTGCGATACAAGCTTCAATTATATAGAGAGTGTTTGCGGGTGAGTGTATTTTTTATTTAAAAATATATTAAAATAATTTTTTTATTTTTAATAACTACATCAAAATAATCAAAAAATATAAAGAAATTAATTTAAATATTAAAAAAAAAAGTTTATAAATTTTAAAAAACAGATTCCAGTTGCACTCCTGCACAGTGCAGTAGAAAAAAAAGAATATTTATGTAAATAGATTTCTATCATATTAACTTTCATTTCGAACATTTTATTCGTGTATGTGCCCCAACTTAATTGAAAATATTTACTTCATGTTTTGACTTGAAATTTTCCCTCAGCAATTATAATAACAATAGCCTGTGGTTGAAATTGATCCATATATAACATGATTATTGCGTATTTGATGAGCCCTGTGCGCGCGTTTTCTAGGGCTGTTCAATAAACTCGTAATCAATATCTGCCGTCTATTTTTGATACTATATAGAAATCTTGCATTCAAGCCTAATGCCTTATACCAAGAGAACGATGCTACTACGTACATACTAAGGTTTTCAATTCCAGCCCTTTTCGTTTGAAATAGCCGGTATATTATGCTCTTTTATGAATACCATCACAGTCATGAACTTCTTATTTCAGACAAACTCTACACACTCCCTGTCGCTAGATCAAAAGAAACAGTTGATCCATTGGAAGATGTGCGAAAGCTAGCTGTTTGAAGTGGGATTTTAACTGTCGACCAAGATACTGAAACAAAGTGAACCAGGATGTTAGCAGTTGTAGCGTTGCTGTGTCGTGCTGCCTTTTTTATTTTTTTTTATAAGCAAACAAGATTAAGCCAAGAGATGGCAAAATAAGCAACCCAAAGGGCCACCATGAAAAACGGATACAGCAGAAAAAATGAAGGAGCCCAAGCAAACAAACTAGCCCAGGGAATGACTAGACTATAATTTTGAATTAAACAATCCAATCTCCAGCCTCAGCCATTTTCATCTCCAGAATACCAATAGCAATCGGCTTCTTAAGGATTAGCTCTGTATGGCTCCCAGTAGTTTAATCAGTTCGACAGAATCTTAAGAAATATTTGTTGGAATTAATTTTGAAGTTTTTTTTTTTAAGTGTTCTTTAATTATTTTAGATAGATGCACGTAACTATTAAAAATATATTTATCTTTTAAGTTTTTTAAATTATCCTAAACTAGTAGGAGTATATGTTTACAATATTGTAAGTCTAAGTTGAAGTTTGTAGAGATTTCCTCTTCTAAAAGAGTAATGTAATATAAATGAGATTTGTTTTTCATCATATTCCCATTTTCTTTTTTTATCTTTTCTCCTTCAAATATGTCTAACAATATTCAGCAACTCCCAAAGCCTCAACAGCACTGAATTCAAAGCTCTCATACCTTATTTTCATGCATCCATAATGAGAGATCTCCAATGTCGCTCTAATGGTTCATCCCAGCACAAACATCGTAGCATCAACGACATACACCAGACAATAACAAAAAGAACCCCCCGGTTGTCTAGAGGCGGCCATGGACACTTGGTTACATAGGTGGGTACGAAATATCAACCAAGACCTTAGTTGGAAGGGACCCAGAAGCTTGGGAGAACCCATGTGAGTCCAATCCTGATAGATTCTTGGGCAGTTCCATTGATCTGAGAGGAAAAAAAAGAAAAGAAAATTCAAATGCCATCTGTGGTGAAGAGGGAAAAAAAAGAAAAGAAAACAAAAACGCCCCGCTCAGCAACTGCATTCTGCATAGATCCAAAACCTGACATCTAGTTGCCAGTCTATTTAACATCGATTTTGGTCCAAATTCAAAGTACGTTTTTCTTGTAGCTGTCAAGAAGCTAATTGACAATATAGGAATTGAGTACATTGACAAGTATCCAAATTTAACTTTGCCCTTGAATTTTTTATTTGATTACGTGGCAATAAAAAAGGATTTTTGTAAAAAAATAATAATTTAAATATTATAAAAAAATGTGATATGTTAGCATGAATTCTCTTTTCCTTATTAATGTATTTTTTTTCAAAAAAAATATTGTTTTTGGCAATGTTGTTTATTGCATGAAAAACTAAAATCAATCAAAATCAATATCCAAAAAAAATAACTATTCAGAATAAGGAAAAAAAGGTAACCATTCCTTAAGAAACCGTGTACCTTATTAACTCATTTCTTTCTTTTTGTTCTCATTTTTTTTATATGTGTATCGTTTTTAAACAAGAACTTATCTCAATAAGAAATTGAAAAAAAATAATGAATTAATAGTTTTAATGTGAATATATTATAAACATCATATAAGAATAATAAACTTGAAAAAAAGTTACAATATACCTTTTTTTAGCCATATAGCTTATTGCATTAAAACTAAAAGCAATTAAAATAAATATCTAAAACAAATTAACGATTTGAAATTAAAAAAAATATATATCTCTTTAATCAAAACCCTTTTCCTAATGCACTTCTTCTTCTTTTGATAAATTCATTTATTTTTATCAAAAGCATTGTTCTTTAAATAAAAACATCATAATCTTAAAAGCAAGTTTGACTAAAACAACACTCAAAAAAAATAATGAATCGACAAATTTGGCACTAATATATTAAAAATATAATAATATTAATTTTGAAAAAGAAATATATAAAAACTTACAATAAAAAAATAAAAATAAAAATATTTGATTCACATTAATTATTCAAGGTTCATATATAATTATTTCAAAAATAATTGTTAATATTATGGTAAAAGATACTAATATTATTTAAAAATAATAGCATAATTGGATAATTATGTAAATATTATTTTAATAAATTTATTTATTAAAAAAATATAATTACAAAATGCAAAAAAAAAAAGAATCAAGAAAAAAACTTCAAGGAATATGAGCATAGGTGCTTAAAATTTGGGCCCACAAGCCTAACAACATTTAAAATCTGGCTTGTATGCCTAGATTTCTTTTTTAAAAAAAATAACATGTACTATGTTTTTTTAAATAAATAAATTGTTGATGCATTGCTAATTTAAATAAACAATACATTATCCATTTATAACTAGAAAATTAGGATAAAAGCTTTTAGACTAAAAATTCAGATTTCAATTATTTTTCATCAAAAAATTATCACATGAACCTCTAAAACTCTATTTCTAATAACAAAATATATTTTAATTGGTCTAAAAACTCATAATTTCTAAAATATCTCAAAAAATAATATGTATCCCTGAAATAGAAAGTAAAATTATGTATTGTTAAAATAGAAAGTACAAAAAGGACATGTCTTTAAAAATAATATTTTTTTATTTTTATTTATAAAATATCCTTGTAAAAAATTCATAATTTCAAAATCATCTAACTAAGTTTTTAAGGTTGTAAAAAATTCATAATTTCAAAATCATCCAACTAAGTTTTAAAGGAATAAAAGTAATTATTATTATGATTTTAAAACTCAATTGGATCACAGGCCAAAAGGTTGACTCTAATGTTTTTAAGCAAAATAGATTAAAAAAATATTGTTTTGAAAAAAAAAATCAAAAGAAAAGTCAATGAGTTTTTTACTTAGTTTTGACATAGTTTCACCATAAGTTGCAGGTTAATCAGGATTTTTGATTGGTTCAAACTAGGTCACATTATAAATATCCTATGTTTTTTTAAACTCATATCAGTTCAAGTCTTATATAGACAACAAAATAAATATTAAGATGTTCACATTATAAGAAAAGTTAATAATGCGGGGAAATCATTATAGCTTTCCTCACAAAACATTATTGATTGTTATAATGTTTCTCCATATTATTATTTTTTTAAACATGATTTTTTTAAAATTATTTTTGTTGATTTTTTTTAATATTGAAATGGTTGAGATTTTAATTTTGTATTTTTTTCCATTTATTTGATTATCTATAAGGTTAGCGAGATTAGTGTGGTTTGCAGATTTGTCAAGGTAATCCAGATTGCTCTAGTTTATAGATGTGGTGTGTATGTGTGTGTGTTTTTAATGATGTGGGGAATGCACTATAGCTATCCTTACAAAATATTATGGATTGCTATAGTGTTTTTTCATATTATTATTTTTTTACACATGGATTTTTTTTGTTATCATTTTTTTCAAAATTATTTTTATCAATTTTTTTTTTAAATTGAGATGGTTGAAATTTTAGATTTTTAATTTTTTTCTTTTTATTTTATCTTTTTATGAGGTTAGCGTAGTTTGTAGGCTTGTTAAGATAACTCAAGTTGTCCCAGTTTATGAATGTGGTGTTTTTTTTTTAATTGAACTTGTTTTTTTATAATCTATTTTTTAATTATATTATTAAAAAAATAATTTTAAAGAAAAAACATGTTATTAAACTTTATGAAGTAAAAAAATTAAAATTCATTGCACGGTGGATTATAATAGTAATCCATAGTGTTTTGCTTTCTTTTTCTTTTTATTTTTTTCTTTTTTTATTTTTTGTTATGATTTGTTTTCAAATGTATTTTTATCGATTTTATCTTTTAAAATTGAGATTGTTGAGAATTTAGCTTTGTAATTTGCTTCTTTTTTATTTTGATATTATAGGAGGTTAACATGGTTTACAGGTTTGCAAAAGTAACCCAAATTGCCTTAATTTACGAGTTTGGTGGGTTGTTTTTTTAATTGAACTTGACTTTTTTTTATAGTCTATTTTTTTTTCTTATATAGTTAAAAAAAATAGTTTTAGAGAAAAGTTATGTTATTAAATTTATAAAGTAACAAAAATTAAAAAGTATGAGGAAACCATTATTCACCCATATATATTGCACTGTGAATGACAATAGTAATCCACAATGTTTCACTTTTTTTCCTCTTTTTTTGGTTATGATTTTGTTTTAAATTTTTTTTTATCAATTTCATCTTTTAATATTGGGATGATTGGGAATTTGACTTCAAAATTTGTTTCCTTTTATTTTACCTTTCTATAAAGTTAGCATGATTTTCAAGTTTATCAGCGTAACTCGAGCTGCCTT